CAAAAAACTAACGCTAGCAGTCCTACTAGCCCCAGCTATCCCCTTAGGAGCTCTCTTTCTGAAAGAGTCAAAGGCATCATATTACAGTGTCCATCCACCTTCAGTTCTTGACCTTTACCCCTGGATTTAAAGTGGGAATAAGGACCCAATTGTGTCAAAATTGAATATCTGCACACCTATGTTTATAAAATTCATAACAGCTAAATCTTGGATTTAGCTAAATCTGTAGATATGCCCATCTACAGATGAATGGATAAGGAAAATGTGGCAAGTTTTTATACATAAGGGAGTGCCACTTTGCCAAAAAGGATAAATTTGAGCTGTTTGTCAGAAAATGGGTGCACCTTGAGACCATAATGTTAAGTGAAATAAATCAGACACACAAGCTGAAGTATTGCATAGTTTCTCTTACATGAGAAATCTGAAATATAAATAAAGAGCAAAATAAAAGATGATAGGAAGTAGGGAGAGAGCTCTTTTGCAAATGAGAGTGAAGGGAGGAGAAGGAAAGAGATTAAACACAGGGATGAAGAGGCGATGTGTACATGCACTCCCTCTCCAAGAGGAATGTGATCATCATGTGCTGCAAAGATGGACTACTAAGATAAAATTTAGAAAACCACACTGCCATCCACCATCCAAAGGAACACGTTTCCCACAGACACAGCAGGGGAACTATGAGACTAGAAATGGAAGTGGAACATGGGGTCCCATGCTTCAGCCTCACAGGGTCGCTGTTCAGTGACAGGGAAGAACAGCGATGTTAACTCATCACCCACACCGATGACCAGTCTTTTCCTGTGCACGGGGCTCTGCAGAGTGTAGAGTTTACCCACATTTTCTTTCTTTTTTTTTTTTTAACATAAACTTTGAAATTGTATTTTGTTTATTTACTTTTTTATTTTAAAAATAAAAGGAGGAAAACATTAACAGACAGACAACCTTTTACAAAATAGCAAAAGAACAGTACAGACAATACAGAGTTACAAACAAAGTGGTAGGAAATTAACAATGCTTATTGTATTACATATCGATATCTTCAAAGTAGTTTCTCGTGAATACAGATAGAGACATGCAATACTGATCAATCAAGGACTCATTAACAGTTTCTTTCAGCAAAGAAATAGAAGACAATAGGTCAATTATGTTAACTATCCTGTATATACTTACATACATACAAAATTTCTTCTTTCCCTTCTCTTTTCCCACATCCCAGTTGCCCTTTACTCTTGAGTGTTTTCCTATCATTTCACAATGTCTATCATACCTCCTAGTTTAAATTAATTCTTTCAGGTTTTACACTAGTGAGACAATGTGGTGCTTGCACATGCACATCTGATTTATTTCACTTATGAGTATGGTCTCTAGTTGTGACCATTTACCTATAAAGGCCTTGAGTTTATCTTTCTTTATAGCTGAGTAATATTCCATTATATAAAAGTACCACAATTTTCTTTTCCAATTCTCGGTGGAAGGACATTTGGGTTGCTTCCACATTTTAGCAATTACAAATTGTGCTGCTGTGAACATAGGTGCACATATATCGCTGTGTTATGATGTTTTTAGATCTTCTGGGAAAATACCCAGAAGGGGAATAGCTGGGTTGAATGGGACCGCTAGACCTAGTTTGCGGAGGAATCTCCAAACTGATTTCCACAGTGGCTTTACCAGTCTGCATTCCCACCAGCAGTGGAGAGGGTTCCTATTTCTCCACAGTTTCACCAGCATTTGTTGTTGGTTGCTTTCTTAATACTAGCCATTCTTACATTTTCTTTTCACCTCTTGAAAATAAGGAACTTGGCCAACTGCCTGCTCATTCCCCAGGAGTTGCACAGTCAGAACAGAGCAGCTAGGCTGGAGCTGCTAGGATGATGTGGCACCACCTCGGGGTGCATTGCCATCTCATTGGCCTTCCTTTCTCTGTGCACCACCTGCCCCGCAACCAGTAGGACAGCTGACAGTCACAGTGAGGATGACAGGACCAGGAACAGACAACAAAAGGAGCAAAAGGAGGAGGCACCTGAATTCTTGCAAATCACCTCCTGCTCCTCTCCTGACCAGGCTGCCCGCCCCTGCACTCTGCTGCACTTTCCCCTGTGGCATCTGCAGGCTGTGGAGGTGGAGACCGGAGGTGATGCCTCACTCTGCTTCTAGTGTTTGGTCAGCAACAAACTTTCCTCACTGTGACCTTTAGCCCTATGATTCAAATTGGGAGAAAGGATCCCGATGGGTGAAAATTGAACATCTTTAGTGCACATTTTGGTCCATGGTGTGGCTTACTGTCAAGACAAAACACTTTATTACAAATACACATATGTTACTATAATTAATTTTATTTTAAAATACATATACTTTAAAATGGCAGGTCTACAAAGGCAGAGTTTCTCAGCAGAAATTTACAAAAAATAACAAGCTCTCCATGATGAGGTTCTGAGTCAACATGAAGGAAGGGACTTTTTTTAATTCTAATTTTTTTATTTTAAGAAATAAAAGAAGGAAAACATATTAACAAACACATCCATTTACAAAATAGCATAAGAACAATACAAACAAAACAGTTACAGACAAAGTCATAGGAAACTAACAATGGTTGTTATATTACTTGTTGATATCTTCAAAGTGGTTTCTCAAGAAAACAAAGAAGGGATATTTTAAAGTGTGATTTAACCCCAAGTAACATCCCTGTCCCCAAAGGATGTCAATAGCTAGGCACAGTGGAAAAGGTGATCACAGCTGATCCTGACACCGGCTGCGTCTCTCATTACAACCTGGTCAAATGTCTCCTCTGTCTCCTCCAAATGTGCGGCGAGCACATGGAGAAACACCCCTCCCCGGAGTCAGGGCACTGGGATGGGACCAAAACGGTCACAACTCTGGCCTCAGACTCGGACTCATGTGCTGCATGAGGAATAGATGGGAATTACCCTGCCTGAAGTAGAGAAAAGTTAGTAGAGAAGGCAGCAGGAAAACAGTAAGAACGTATTCAGGTTCACTTTTCCTCAGCAGGCATGAGCCCAAATTACCCAGAGGAAAGAGCTGGGGAACAAGGTAGGAAGTGGGAGATTCATAAGTTTGGATAAAATCAAGGTTGTCAGGCTTCTTGACATCTGGTGGTGATGGAACGATCTATAGTCAAGGTGGCCATGGAACAATCTGCTGGTCAAGCTTGTAAACCACCAGTAACAGAAGATTAGCTGGTCGATCAGCGGACAATCACAGGAGTGGTCAAGAAACTGCGCTGAGCTTGACTAGAGGAGAGAAAAAACATGGTTCACCTCACTTTTTAACTTAAACTAGGGGAAAATAATGGTTTAAGTCCTTCATAAGACAAAAAGAAAATAATTTCACCCTGGACACAACTCTTCTTCGAGTGGTTTCAACTTCCACACTTGATTCTTGCCTGAATCAAAGAAAAAAATAAACGATGAAAAATTGTGGCTTTTCTGTTTTTTTTTTTTCTATATTTGGTGCTCTAAATCTTGTGAAGAGAGGTTTTTCAGTTCATGTCTTTCTTTGTGATAAAAATATAGGAAAGAGGGGCACTGAGACCCCTGCAGAGTTTTCCAGTGAAATATACACACTCTTAAGTATTTAAATCTATAAATTTTTACCAATATAAATGTAGTTGAGGGCAGGCTAAGGGGCTTTTTCCTTGTAACCATCTTTCTCATTAAATAGATTTTCAATAGACTCCTCAGAAGGTACATGTTCACATCAAAGAAATGTAATGTTTAACATATTCCTTTGTTTAATGGGATAGAACAAATAATTATATGATTTCCCACAGGCTATTCAAGAAAATTTAAAGATAAGTTTACGTGTAAGAGACATCATTAAATGTTTATTTTATTATTTTAGAATGATTTTAATATAATAAGAATAGTTATCAGAGACTACTTAAGGACATAGTTATGTCTGCTTTTGAGTAAAAATAGCTGGCTATTTAATTAGTCCAAAGAACAGTAAAATGTTGTCAATATGACTGAAAAAGAGTATCACATGATGGAATACTATTAGAAAACTTCATTTTAGGGCTAGGGATATAGCTCAGTGGCATAAGCATCTGCCTGGCAAGCGCAAGGTGGTGAGTTCAATCCCCTGTACTGCAAAAAAAAAAAAAAAAAGAAAACTTCATTTTATTTCCCTAGGTAATTAATTGCAAAGCTCAGAGGTTATTCTGATAAAATCTAGGATCTCTATACGGAATACACAGGTTAGGACAAGTCTTCTGCATTGTGACACTAGTGAGTAAGCCAAAAAGTCTGTCCTTGCCCAGTGACTTCTACAATTTTAACAGATTCCACGGTGTTTTCTGGACTCAGATGAACAGCGCTGACCTAACAAGTTTAATTCAGAAGTTGTGTAATTTCTGGATCACAGATGTGGAGGCACAAAGATGCATCTGAGTCTGCTGCTTTGGAAGTGCCCTGTGCCCTGCTGGACAAGGTTTTTCTAGTGCCCTGTGCCCTGTGGGACACCATCCAGCTGGCTGACCAGTGTTCCTCTGGGAGCATGAGGCTCAGATGTCCCTTCTGCCAAGGTGTGACAGGTGGCTTTGCAGGTGGATGTTCTGCCTCAGCACCTGACAGTCTGATTCTTGAGGAAGCTGTGCACATGTTTCAAGTTGGTGACTCACATGCTATCCACATACAGTGCACACTATGCTGTCTCAATATTTTTGTTTTCAACAAATGAAATTCAGAAATGAGTTACTAGGTGACTCAAAATGAAATCTGCTCATGAGCAACAGCCAATCTTTTCAGAAAGCTAAGCAAGCAAGAGATGCTCTGTTATAGAAGAGCACCAGGTTACTCCACGGCTTACACTGGCATTGTGGGACGCTGCTTCAGATCTCAGGCGGCTCTTGGGTGTTGACTTCCTAGAGCCAAAGATGGATCTGAGTCCCCCAGGGCAACCCAAAGTTAGAGGCGAGAAGACCCCGTGCCACTCTTGTGGCACCGTGTCAGGCACAGGTACCAGGGCATGTTAGGAGAGGGGTGTCAAGTGGCAGGCAGGGCCGGCAGCAGCTTCCTCACACCTCGCTTCATGTCGCTGTTCCTCAGGGTGTAGACGACAGGATTCAGGATTGGAGGCAGCACAGTGTAGATCACAGAAAGCAGCCTGTCAGTCACTGAGGGTGCATCTGAAGGCGGCCTCAGGTAAACAGTGAACGCAGTTGGCATGACAACAGTGAAGACCACGAGGCGGGGGAGGCACGTAGCAAAAGCTTTCGACTGACTTTTCAGGGATGGAATCCTCAGCACGGTGGAGAGAATGCGAACGTAAGAGAACATGATGCAGATAAAACACGACAGGCTCAGACACACCCCGATGCCCATGCTGGGGTAGACTGCCAGGAGGGTGTCAGAGCAGGAAATCTTGAGTAAGGAGGGGACATTGCAGAAAAACTCCGGGATCACAGTGGAGCCACAGAAGGGCCCAGAAAATGTACCAGCGGTGTACACAGCTCCAAAGAGCATCCCCATGGCCCGGGAAACCCCTGCCATCAGCACACAGGCGTCACCATTCAGGATGGCCTCATAGTGTAGGGGACAGCAGATGGCCACATAGCGGTCATAGGACATGGTGGTGAGGATAAATATCTCACCGGCTGAGAAGGAAGTCATTAAAAGGAGCTGGAAGGCGCAGCCTGGAAGGGAAATGGAATTGTTGTGAATCAGGCTGTTGACGATGAACTTTGGGATTGGGATGGACACCAGAGAGACGTCCAGCAAGGACAAGTTCTCCAGGAAGAAGTACATGGGTGCTCGGAGCTGCGGGTCCAGGGTAAGAACAGTGACAATGAGAAGGTTGCTCATCAGAGCCACCAGGGAGAGCAGCAGGAAGAGAAGGCCCCAGCACGTCTGCCACGCAGGGTCCTCAGAAAACTCCAGGAGAAGGAACCCTGTCACCAAAGTGACATTGACCATCCTAGAGCCTCCTTGCTGTCTTTCAAGGTGAGAACATACACACAAGAGAAAAAGCAATGATCAGTCTAGAGACAGTGATATTAATTTTCAGAAAAATTCAGTTGTGAAAGAACTGTGTAACCACTGTATCTTAAATACTGTTTTGCATTTCCTTAAAAATGTCTTTTCTTCCCCCTTCCTTCTTCTCTCCTTTTCTTTCCATCATTTATAATTGTCCTCTCCCCTCCCTTCCTCTTCCCCCTTCTTTCTCCTTCCTTTTCCTTCCCTTTCCAGCTAAGGATTAAATCTGGGGTCTCACACATGCTAAGTAGGGATCTACCATGAGCTACATGCCAAATATTTACTTTTTAATTTTTTAAATATAAAGTGATTAACATGAGTAATATGTGGGGTTGGTTAGTCTTGGTTTTGGTTTTAGTTTTGACACTCAGAGATTTAGGAAGGACCTTTCAGATTCTTAGGGTTGTCTTGCTTCCCTTTAAAGAAACCTTTTCTGATTACTTAGCATATTTCAAATAACTAGAAGGAGAGATTCTGAATATTCTCACAACAAACACACGAAAAACTGTTCATGTGAGCCATGTGCTAATTACTGTGATGTGATCATTACATAATGCACACAAGTATGAAACAGCACGTTACCTACAGAATTTTTATAATTGGTAAGAAATAAAAACACAAAAATACATTTCACTTATGAGCATGGTCTCTAGTTGTGACCATTTATCTATAAAGTCCTCAAGTTTATCTTTCTTTATAGCTGAGTAATATTCCATTATATAAAAGTACCACAATTTTCTTATCCAGTCCTCAGGGGATGGACATTTGGGTTGTTTCCACAATTTAGCAATTACAAACTGTGCTGCTATGAACATAGGTGCACATATATTGCTGTGATATGATGCTTTTAGATCTTCTGGGAAAATATCCAGAAGGGGAATAGCTAGGTTGAATGGGACCTCTGGTCCTAGTTTTCTGAGGAATCTCCAAACTGATTTCCACAGTGGTTTCACCAGTCTGCATTCCAAACAGCAGTGGAGGAGAGTTCCTATTTCTCCACAGCCTCGCCAGCATTTGTTATTGGTTGATTTCTTAGTGCTAGCCATTCTTATTGGGGTAAGGTGGAATCTCAATGTTGCTTTAATTTGCATTTCTTGAATGACTAATGATATTGAACATTTTCTCAGGTTTTTGTTTGCCATTTGTATTTCCTTATCTGAGAAGTGTGTATTCACAAACATTGTTAATTTCCTACCACTTTGTTTGTAACTCTGTATTGTCTGTACTGTTCTTTCGCTATTTTGTAAAAGATTGTCTGTCTGTTAATGTTTACCTCCTTTTATTTTTAAAATAGAAAACCCACAAAATTACAAAAAACCCCACAGAATCAAGTAGTCTCTATAAGACCTCACTCAATCTTCTAGCCTCAAGTTTCCCTTACTACAAGATGAATGTGTCCTCACTAAACACAGATGTCTTCTCAACTCACTGGGCATTTGTGTCCAACTATTATTGAACCATATTTCATGATAAAGCTTTTTCTATCAGAAAGACAATCTAAAGTCCCATATCTTTGGAGTTTGTTAGTATTCTCATTATTGGGTACAGAAGGAAAACGTGAGCTCTATGACTTCCGCTGTCCTTTTTGATATAAGCAAGAGGATGTAAGTGGAGATTTGTTATTCACTGTCTGTATTATCTTCAGTTCAAGCAATACTCACATATTGAACACGAGCAGGAGAGGGAAATATGAGTTACTTCACATAGTTTATGTCCTTTGGGTACACACATGTGTACCAGAGCCATGCTATGAGGTCTCCTGGTGTTTGATTTGTTTATACATGGTGACCTCACAGAATATATTTCTCATTTTGCCTATTTTCTCCTAATGTGATGGTTTCTCTAATTCACTTTTTAATGCCATCAGATACGTTCTTTCTGCATTCAAAAGATTTCCATAGATTATGGTTACTAAGGCATTTATTTATTTATTTATTTATTTATTTATTTATTTATTTATTTTTTGGTTTTTCTCCGGTACTGGGAACCGAACTCACGACCTTGCACTTGCCAGGCAGGCGCTTTGCCGCTGAGCTAAATCCCCAACCCCCAGCATTTATTTATTTACTTATTCCTGAATGCACAAAAGCGTGTTCTGTATGTATCAGACATGAACTAAATGATAGAGATTTTTTTCCCGAGAGCCTGCATTTCACAGGTGAAGGCATAAAAAGAACAAATAAAAAGGTAAGGAAGGACAAATCTCAGGCAGTGACAGGTGGTGCTATTTCAGAGATTAAGTGTGGGGAAAGGGATTCACCTGAGTGACCAGGCCGCTGACACTGAAATGCAGAGAGATCTCAAATCCATACACAGGAGCTGTGCCGAGGGTGACTGAGCAAACACAGCTCAAATCCAGTGAAGGTTTCGGGCGCCGGGGTCTCCTGGGGAGAAGCAGGCTGTGAGGAACCTGGAGACTGTGCAGTGGGTGAGTGAGGTGGGAACTTGTGGAAGTGGATCGCCCATTCCAACCTTTCTTCTGGACATATACACACAGTGTAGGCAGGAGAGCACAAAGTGGAGAAATTATTTTTGGTTCTTTCAAAGGTCCTACTCTATCAAAATTTTAAAAATCTATTTTGAAACAGAGGAATTTAACAGTCTAGCCAAAGAAACTTGAAATTTATACCTTAAAATAATTCCATTTCTTTAATCACCCAATAAAGATTCCTCTTTAATTTAAAAATACATCACCCAACAAAGATTTTTTAATCACCCAACAAAGATTCCTCTTTAATTTTAAAATACATTCCTCTTTAATGTATTTTTAGGAAATGATTCTAACAAGTCTACTTGAGTTGAAACTTTTTCAGCCAAGTAGAAAGATTTCAGTGTAGCAGTCGATGTCTTCAAAGTGAAGTAGACCATCATGTTGTGTTGGAGAAGGTCTTTGTGACATACACATACAGCTCTACACTTCTGGAAGACTCCGAGATTCCTGCTAGGTTGGGGCAGTTTGACAGGGAACAGCAAAAAGTAAAGCAAACAGGAAAGTCATTAACCTTTTGTAAATTTCAAGTCTTGCATCATTTAAAAACCCTCTGTAGGCAAAAACTAGCAAACAGATCTTTTTATAGACACTTAACTAATACACATGATTCCCCAAAGAAAAATCTGAATAGCCTTATTAAGTGGTTATTTCTTGTTTTGGTTACTTTTCTCATTGTTGAGACAAAATGCCCAGCACCCAAAGTTAATGGGGAAGCATTTGTTCAGCTCACAATTTGTAGAAGTTTCAGACCCTAGTCAGCTGGTTCAAAGGCAGGGAGGCACATGGCAGGGGAGCAACCCTTCACTGCAGCAGAAGACAGCAAAACAAAAGGGGCCTTAACGGCATCTTTCTGTCGCTTTTGTCTTATCCAGACTACCAGGATCAGGGCAGTCACACACCGTAGATCCAGCCACCTCTGAAAAAGCCCACCTATGACCCCATGAGGCTGTTGGACATCTAAACAAATGGCATAACATGTCTCAAGACCACTAGCATCATAATTGCTGTTGTTTTCTATAGATAGATCTGCGTGCCATAGGAGTTATTCAGAAATAATACCGTGAAGGAGATGGCTGTGGTATTTGCCAGTATTATAGTAAGCTTATTAAATATTCCCTTAAAGGGCATTACATAGGTTGCAGCAACCCATCTCATATTTTGCTACTATACATTTGTCCTTTACCACAAAAGTGGCTGGCTATGCATCTTTCTACCTGCACATGGGAGATACAGAAAGCAGATATTTCACCATAATAATCATGATGGTTTTAAATGATAATAAGAAAATTTTACTTAAATTTTTCATTCTTCACTAAAGTGCCACTACATTGGATGCACCAGTCTACACTCCCACCAACAGCGGAGAAGGGTCCTTTTTCCCCATGGTCTTGCCAGCATTTGTTATTGGTTGATTTTGTGATGACAGCCATTTTTTCTGGGGTACGATGGAAATAAGTGTGGAGATTCCTCAAAAAACTAGGTTTGGAGGTCCCATTAGATCCAGCTATTCCCCTTCTGGGTATTTTGTAGAAGAATTGAAAACATCATACCACAGTGATGTATGTGTACCCATGTTAACAACAGCACTATTTGTCATGGCTAAATCTTAGAAACAACTCAGATGTCCATCAACTGAGGAATGGATAAAAAAAGATGTGTTATTTTTATACAGTGGAGTGTTACTCAACTCTAAAGGCTTTTATAGGGAAATGGATGCAACTAGAGACCATATTCATGAGTGAAATAAATCAGACACACATGTGTAAACATTGTATTGTCTCCTTAGTGTAAGAAACTGAGAGAGTAAATAAAATCTAAAATGAACAACAGATATTGTGAAAGGGGAAGAACCTGTTCAAAAGGAAATAACTACTGGGATGAGGCAAAGGAAAAAAGAAAGAAAGAAGGACGGGAAAATACATATGTAAATACACAAGATAGCTAAGGTTATTGTATTACTAGTTTCTATTGGTTTATAGAAAGGAACAGTTAATGCTTAATTTTTTAATTAATTTTGCAAGCCTATATCTGGGAATCTGAATAAATACTTTAAAGATAACAATATATAATATAACAACCATTGTTGATTTCATATCATCTTGTTTTGAAATTCTGTATCACTTGTAATGATTTTTATTTAAAATTAAAAAGAAAATAAATAAATTTAAAAAAATAAAGTGCCACCTAGGCAAAAGGTGTCTTATATAACATTGCCAGGACTCCAGAGTATTTGAGCATCAGGAAGTGTTGTAACCCATGCATAACACACACTTCACGGTGCTGGCTACCTCATTCTGGATGCAGACTTTTTCTGGATGGTAAGTAAGGCAAAACCGGATGATTGAACCTAAAAGTTTACCCCCAGAAATAACTTTAGCCTGGAAAATGCTGGTTTTTAAGTTTGGTTTAAGATGCTGATTTTCATGTTTGAAGACCTGTATACTTGGGAAACAAATACATTTAATACACCATGAAGTCAGCAATACTGAGTGCCACAAACCAGGTCAGAACTGTCTAAGGAGGCAGCTCTGTCCTGCTTCTTATCGTGGATGTCTAGATGTCCCTGTTAGTTATGTAGAAAAACTCAAATCCAGCATTAATTTTAGAAATAGGAGTTAAAGCTTTTGTCTAAAAGCACCAGACAGACCAGAGAGGAGAGTTGGGACCTGGGGAGGGTGCTAGGTTGCTCCATGGTTAAATGTGACAGGCTGCTGACTGACTCTCCAAGTCACCTTGAAGGGCAAAATTATTCTAGTACCGCAGAAAGCAGAGAGAAGAGAAAGTTAACCCTCTAATTGCCATCTTAGAATTTCCAATGTACAAGAAATGTCTTAAGCCTATTAATTAAAGTCCCCAGTTGAATTGGAGCCCCAAATTAAATTTATCAATGTTTGTTTCCCTAGGCCTGAAATTTTTATGCCCATGTTCTGCCTGGTCCCTGAGACTGAGTTTGTAAATGTTAGAAATAAAGTTGCCTGTTTAGACTCAAATGGGTTCTAGAGGCAGTGAAATGTGGCTTTAATAAGTTTGGCTATTTTGAAAACCTATATAAACAACTTTCTATGGAAATCTGACAAAGACCCAAAAAAAAGAAAAAGAAGTGGAAATTGTTGAGCTCAAAGTAAGCCATTCATTCTTTGTAAAATTACTCGTGAAGGTTCCCTTTTTTTTTTTCCTGATTAATTTCTCCCAGTATGGCCTAATTTCCTGGCTTGATTTAAATTGCCTGTAGTACTTCCTTTTTGCTAAATGGACCCCATTAGGATACACTGTTGTAATTTAGAGCTCCATTTTAGGGCCTTATCTCTGGGGTGGGCAAAGGGAGAGAGGTACACACACACACACACACACACACACACACACACACGTGCACGCACAGGATCAGAGAGTGAAAGACCCTTGAGCAGGAGGTATTCTGTCTCTTACCGTTTGCCTCTAGGAAATTAACAAGATTACAAAGAGTCTGGAGCTGAAGCATACAAAATCCAGGCCTTATTTGGCTGAATGAAATAGGAGATGCTTAGGCCGAATATCCACTTTTAAACCAATCAAGGTGTGAAAGAATTTTTAGGAGGCAATCTAAAGTGGCATGTGCTAAAATTTGAGAAATTTGGGAGCCCATGGTAACTGAAGAGAGTGTCCAGGAGTCCATCTGGTTTGAGGGTATGCAAGGAGTTGGGAGCTGTTTAAGAGCAGGAATGAACAATGATTGGGAATTATAGGGTGCAGGGTGATTACCGGGCCTTACAGACCCACAATGATGCATCTGCAGCAGGTGAGGAAGCATCGCTGGGGGAAGGGATTTGAAGTGGCTGCTGCTGATACCAGAATGGTGGTGGTTGGATTCCTTCAGCCAGGACAAAGGTATAAATTGCAATCTCTTGTGCTCTGGGCTGGAACTTTGGGGGTTTTCTGGGTTTCTTATTTTAATTTCTGCTCTTCTCAGCCACTGCATGGGCTCTCTGAAACTCACAACAGGTGAGAACATCTTGTATTGTAATAAAGAGAAAATGCACTGGGTGTTTCCAGTATGTGTCAAGAGACATTTTGAAGAAATGGTTTAAATGTTACTCAGTGAGTGAGAGTTTCTAGAGTCTGGTATTCACTTATAATCTTGAAATCAGTAGAACTTTGAGACTACGTATGTTGAAACTAATATATTTCACCAGAGTTCAGATGTAAACACACACAACATATGTGCCTTTCAATAGCTTAGTTTAATGAATATAAGGAGGCAGTCAGAGAAGCCTATGATAGGGTGTCATGGATGAATTAAGCAAGTAGCCAAGCAACATTTAGGCTTAGAAGTGTAAAAGCAAATCAGATAATGCACCCAGGTTAGGAACTAATTCAAGACAGTAAGACAAGCATAGAGATGCAAAGGTAAATTCAAGAACGAAGTATAAAATGGTGGGATGAGAATGGAGAGAGACGGACTGTTACATCTAGGAAGAAAAGCGTCATGCAGGACACGCTAGGTTAGAATTTTACAGCCCTTTCTAGCTCCAGACCTGCAGAGATGCCCAGATAACTCGTTCTGTTTAAAAATCCCTTTGAAGAAACCCAAAGCGTGACTGGAATTTGTTCCCCTTTGGAATGCAAGAGCTTTTCCCTTCTTATTCCCAGCAATCACTCCTGCCTTCCTCCTTTTGTCCTTCAGTTTTGGGAGCCAGAAAACAGGTTTATACCAACTTAAGTAACCTGATCTGCTTCACCTGCATTTTTAGAAATGCTTGTATTGCCCATTTCCTTTCTCCTGAGTTTTGAATTAGAAGCTGTATATTTATGTCAGTGGATGTACGTTCTTTGGTCTGTAGCATGATCCTACCACTTTAGTTTGTGACCCCAGGGAGAATGCACAATATTGGCAGAACGGACAACTACACCATAGCCGGAGAACTCCTTCTGATGGACAGTTCAAATTCTAGAGAGCTCCAGTACTGCAAGGCCTGCTTTTTTAAAGCAGGTTGGCAACCTTGTGACCATTGCAGTCATAAGGACAAACTAGGGTCTTCACTCTCTTACTTTTTTATAAGACATTTGTCCCTCATAGACCTCTGCAACATCTCTGTTATTGTTTCCAAATCCATCATTAATTCCTTTACAGGTAGCAACTCCATTTCACTCAAAGAATGCACTGCTCTAGGTTTTCTGTGTATTTTCTTTGCATTTGCGGAGCTTGCCCTCCTGGTGGTCATGTCTTATGACCGCTACGTGGCCATTTGCCACCCTCTGTACTGTTGGCTCGTCTTCACCCGGAGTCTGTGCACACAGGCCGTGGAAGCTCCTGGGCCAGAGGCCTGGTGTACTCTGCTACGCACACAGGGACCATGGTCAGGCTTCCCCTCACAAAGTCCACTGTGATCCACCAATATTTCTGTGATGCAGCTCAAATTCCGAAGATATCAAATTCAGACGTTCAGTTCGCTGAATCTGTGGTGTTTGTAATAAGTGTTTGTGTTGCCTTTGTATGTTTCATCTTTTTTTGTGACATATAAAAATATATGTTTTTTGGTATTGATGTGTTTTCTCTTTTTAGTTTAAAGACAACAACAAAAAAACAATAAAAATGATGCAGAATTTCAAATCCAGATAGTAGGAAATTAACAATGGTTATTATATTGCATATTGTTATCTTCAAAATAGTTGCTTAGATTACCACTCATAAGCATGTAAGTTTAATCAAACAGTATAAACACTAACTGTTCCTTTCAATGAACTAATAGAAATTAATAGTACAATTACTATTAATTTCTTTCTTTTCTCCTTTCCCTCATCTCAGTTATTCTTTCCTTTTTGAGCAGCTTCTTTCTCTTTTACAATGTCTAGTCTACCTTTTGGATCTTATTTACTTTTTTAGTTTTTTATGCTAGGAGACAATATGATGTTTACACATGTGAGTCTGATTTATTTCACTTATGAGTATGGTCTCTAGTTTCCTATAAAAGTCTCAAGTTTACCTTTCTTTATAGCCGAGTAATACTCCATTGTATAAAAATACTACACCTTTTTTATCCATTCCTTGGGTGTTGAGCATTTGGATTGCTGCCAATACTTAATTATTATAATTTGTGCTGCTGTCAACATGGGTGCACATACATTTCTGTAGTATGATGTTTTTAATTCTTCTGGGAATATACCCAGTAGGACAATAGTTGGGTGGAATGGGACCTGTAATCCCAATATTTTGAGGAATCTCCACACTGAATCCCACTGTGGTTGTAGCAGTCTACACTCCCACTAAGAGTGGAGAAGGGTTCCTTTTCCCCACAGCCCCACCAACATGTTATTGGTGGATTTTTTGATGGTAGCCATTCTTTCTGGTGTGAGATGGAATCTCAATGTTGTTTAATGTGCATCTCTTGAATGACTCATGGTGTTAAACAGTGTTTCATGTATTTATTTGCCACCTGCATTTCTTCATGTGAGAAGTGTGTATTCATTTTAGATGCTCATTTTTTGATTGGGTCTTTGAATTTTGGAGGTCTGATTCTTAAAAATTGTTTATATATCCCAGATTGAAATCCTTTGTCTGAGGGACGTTTGATTAGGTATTTTCCCAATTTGTGGGTTTTCTTTTGACTCTTATGGTATTTATTTTGATGTAGTAAATCCATGTTCTAGATTCCTTGAAATATTTCCCATGCAGTTTGGTTTTTTGTTGTTCACGAGCTCTCTGCTTACCCCTATGTCTTCAGGATTTCTACTTTCTCTTCCAGTAGATTTACTGTTTCTGTTTTAATATTTAGATCTTTGATCTATTGTGATTGTAGTTTAGTGCATTATGGTAGACATAGGTCTAGTTTTGCCTTTGCCAAGGGGAAAGCCAGTTTTTCCAGCACCATTTATTAAAGAGGCTATCTTCCTTCCAGTGTACATGTTTGGCCCCTTTGTCAAAGGTAAGGTAGCTGAGTGTGTTTGTAATTATGTCTGAATCTTATAATCTGTTTCTTTGATCCTTGAGTCTGGTTTTAGGTCTGTTACATGCTGATTTTATCACAGTAGTATAATTCTATGCTGATTTTATCACTGTAGCATAATTCCACATCAGGAATTGTGATGCCTCCTGCCTTGCCTTTGTTTCCCTGGATTGCCTTTGTTATTCTAGGTCTCTTCTGGTTCCAAATGCATTTTGGGAATGTTTTGTCTAGATCTGTGAGGTATGCTAATGGTATTTTGACCAGGATTGCATTAAATTTGACTAACAACTTCAGGAGTATGTTCATGTTCACAGTGTTGGTTCTTCTTACCCATAAGCAAAGAATATCTTTCCATTTTCTGGAATCATCTCTTTTTTCAGAGTTGTGTAATTTTCAATATATATGTATATCTTTTACTTCCTCTGTTGGATCGATTCCAAATTCTTTCATTGTTTTGTGTGATATTGTGAAGGGTATGGTTTCCATAATTTCTTTTTCAGGGAGTTTGTCGTTTGTGTACAGAATGCTGTTGATTTCTGAGTGTTGACTTTGTAGCCCACTATGCCACTGAATTTGGTTATTGAATCTAGATGTCTTTTGGTGGAGATTTTGGAGTCTTGTATGTAGAATATCATGTCGTCTACAAATAATGTTACTTTAACTTCTTCCTTTTCTTTCCTTTTTTTTATTTCTCTGTTGTCTAATTGCTCTAGTTAATGTTTCCAGAACAGTACTGAATAGAAATCATGATAGTGGACATCCTTATCTTGTTCCTGATTTTAGATTAAAAGCCTTTAGGTTTTTGTCTATTCAATATAATGTTGGATGTTGGTTTATTATAAGGGGCTTTCATCAAATTGAGGTAAAGAGCACTATTCTCATTTTCTGTAAGGTTTATAATCATAAATTTTTGTTAGACTTTATAAAAAGCCTTTTCTGTATCTATTAAGATGATCATGTGGTTTTTGTCTTTGGTTGGTTGATAGGATATATTATATTTATTGATTTGCATATATTGAACCAACCCTGCATTCTTGGGGTGAATCCCACTTGGTCATGGTGTATAATCTTCTTGATGATTTGCTGCATTTTGTTGTTTGTATCTTATTGAGTATTCTTGCATCTATGTTCATTAAGGAGATTGGCCTGTAGTTTTCTTTTCTGGTTGGCTCTTTCTCTGGTTTTGGTATTGGATTAGTACTTGTCCCCAGGAATGAGTTAGAGAGAATTGTTTCCCTTTAAATTTCATGAAAAAGTTAGAGAATTATTTGTGTTAAATCTTCTCTACATTTTTTGTAGAATTAAGCTGTGAATCCATCAGGACCTGTGCTTTTCTTTGTTGGTAAGTTTTTCATTACATTTTCAATTTCATTGACTGATATTGTGTTATTGAAAATTTTTTATCTTCTTGATTCAGCTTTGGTAATTCATATATATCTAGAAATCTGTCCATTTCTTATGTGTTTTCCATCCTATGAGGGTAAAGAATTTCAAAGTAGGTATTGATGATCTTCTGAATTTCCACAGGATCCCTAGTGCCTTATCAATGCTTATTAATTCTCAGTGCATGAATTTGAGTCTTTGTTTTTTTTGATAAGG